AGTAGTTCGTCATTTTCTTATTTATATGGTTTGGGATTTTAAGACAGGTGTTTGTAATTCATTATACTGATGAAGGTGTTTTATGAAAGCAATCGCACTTGCACATAACAACTTTGTTTTTTAATTCAACGTTCAGTGTATTTGTTATTTTGTTTTTTCTTCGCCTGGTATTTAAAATTCACCGTTACCACTATTTATTAAGAGCATTTATCATAATGATCACTATATCACTATATCCATGTAAATGATCACAAATTACTATCACCATGGCATTTAATTATTATTGTGTTTTGTGTTTGTATTCTAACTTTGTTTTTTTTCTATTTTCTTTTTCTTTTTCTTTCTAATTCCTTTGTAGCTACCACTAATAACTATACTCAAAACAGATGGCATAGTTCTGTAATAGAGCGCTGGCTTTGCAGTCGATACAGATTTGAATGAGTACTAGTATGCTGACGTCTACATGTTGGGGTCAAAGTCAGGAGAGAGAGAGAGAGAGAGAAGGAGAATGAAGCAGAGAAACAGAGAGAGAGAAACAGAGAAGAGAGGAGAGAGAGAGAGAGAGAGAGAGAGAAGAGAGAGAGAGAGAGAGAGAGAGAGAGAGAGAGAGAGAGAGAGAGAGAGAGAGAAAGGAACTGGCCACCCTACTGCATCATCCCGCGACTTATTATGCCTGTTTCCTACGTCCACTTCGATGTGGGACCAACGTTGACTTTGATTTATAACGTTCTCATTGCCTTATGATATTTAACCAATGTTTATTTATCAATCACATCATTTCCATCATTATTATTTATTTTTATTTTTATTATTTTAATTTATATTATTTTTTTTTTTTGCCAACTCATCTGTCTTACTTATTTGCTAAGACGTCTATGCAATACGATGTAAGCAATAAAAAAATACAAAAATCATCAACATACTGCAATCATTACAAAGAGCCAGAATTTCCAAAGATGTGATCCCTTTTACCGGTGAATATTTGTATCTGAGATATCGTTTTTTATCTTTAAATTCAAGTAGCTCGCATATAGACGTTGAATTAAATAAAAATCATTCTTATTTCTTGGGATAAGTCTGCAATATGTTGTTTTTTTGTTTCTTTTTCTTCTTGTTTTATACTTGAAATGTATGATTCTATATTAACATTACGTGTTTTCATGTTTTTGATATATTTTGATATAATTTCCGTTTTCCCTGGATTAAAAAATTGCCGATATGGTATATTTTCTTGTATACGCACATACATAACTATTATGATGTGTGTTTATATGCCTATGCCTGTGTATATGTGTATGTCTGTGTCTCTACATATGTATGTTGTTTGGGAGATACAAACCATGGTAATGAAACAAAAAATGTCTGATCTTTAAATGCATAATAATCATGCAGATATACACGGATATTATTCAATACAATTAGAATAATATGGAACTAGAGTGTGATAATATAATTGCTAATATATGTACCCTTTCTGAAGAGAGTGTTGCGTCTGAATCATGGAACGTCAAACTATATTAAATCCTAGATTGATATCCTGTAGCTTATAATAATCGTTTACATAAACTATCTTTTCTAAAGTGCTTCTCTGTCATAGTGTCAAGACAATTCTCCCTAGAACGAAGGAAAATAGAGGATTATGAAGAAAAATATGTAGAATAAATATACAGACAATATATATATACATATATAGTATATATAATAATATAATATAAATATTTATATATATTATAATTTTTTTTTTTTTTTTTTTTTTTTTTTTTTTTTTTTTTTTTTGTTTTTTGTGTTTTTGTTTTTTTTGCTTGTCGCTAGAAATTTATCCCTTTCCTTCTGCCGTTTACTTTTCTATATCATTTGTGAAGACATGAATCCACTAATTTATGATCGTAGAAAATGTGTCACTGGAATCTACCGTAATATTGATCTTTAATTAAACTGAATTTCCTACTTTACATTAAATTGTTTACATGAGTGATTTATCATTAAGTTGTAAGATAGGCCTATGCATGTGGCATGAGTTTGCCATTCGTGCAATAATGGATGACTAATTTCATCCCATGGTTAACTATGTGTCAACTTTGATTCTTTGCAATTCTTTATGTGTACATAATCTTCAGCGTACATGTGTGCACATTCGAAAACTGAACGGCCGATTTTGAAAGGTTGTTGCAGAATCCGTTGTCTTGTTTGTTCATCCATGGTTAAAATCTGAATTGCAGCGGTCGATATTTTTATTTTCTGGATGATAAGAGAGTGTTCGTTTGTTTGATTTTTTTTTTTTTTTTGTGTTTGTTTATTTCCTCTTTTCTCCTTGTTTTGGTTTCTCATTTACTCTGAACGCGTTTCCTGATTGTTCCCTCTCTTTTTTGTCTCTCTTCTTTTTTTGTCTATCTTTTCTTTTCTCGGTCTCTCTTCTCTTTTTCTTGGCTCCATCTCTCTTAATCATCTCTTTCTTTTCTTAATTTCTTCCTTCCCTTTCATCCTCCCTTCTTCATCAACATACATATATATATATATATATATTAGTATATATATATATATATTATACTATATTTATATATATATTATATATATATTATATTCACAAACAACTCACCCTCCACATCTCGTCTTTACACATATCTTACCACACACCACACTAATTCCACAGCTACTATTCACATCATTCTTTGCACTCACACACACTACCATTCACACGTATTATATAAAAATACCTATTACTATTAAATCTATATTTTATATATATATAATATTATATACATAATTTATATATATATACTATAAACTATATTTATATACTTATATAATATTAAAGTATGTATACCTATTCCTCTTCACACACTTACTACAGAGTCAAACTACACAACCCACACATCTTATTAATTTACTACCCTCTATACTCAGTATACCTTATTTATATTATACGATCCATTAACCCGGTATAACATATACTTATGGGCTTATTTGTTTGTCTTGTTTTACAATGTTATCCTTTTATTATCAAGATTATTTCATATATGTGTGTGTTGTGTGTGTGTGTGTGTGTGTGTGGTTGTGTGTATGTTGTGTACAATGATGTGGTGTTGTAGTGGTGTGTGAATAGTCGTGTTGTGTGTGTCGTGGGCCTGTGGTGTATAATATTAGAATAATCAGACTGATAAATACAGAGATAAGTAGACCGAATAACACAGCTCTTTCCCTCAGCCTCGCGTCGCACTGCCTTTTTTACGGATTACCACCGTAATTCTCATCTCAATCACCTGCACTCACTCTAGTCCCTGTAAATCAGCGCGTTACCTTCTGCATGAAGCTCATACTCAGAAAAACCCAGGTAAAGACGGAACGAAGAGAACGAACGTCCAGGAATGCAGCCCCCTGTTTTCAGTGATGGATCGGCCATACGCGTTCGGGTTCCACCGCGACAGGGACCCTGGCATGGTCGGTAGCATACAGGTAGCCAGAAGACTGGGGCGGAGTAGGAGGCCGTCCTAGTTGGGGTGGGTCTGGGCGACGGGGTTGGGAAGGCAGGTGACAGATCGGGGGAAGTATGGAGTGGGGCAGCGGAAGAATTACTCCTGCCAAGCGGTCCGTGGTAGGGGGGTTCTGAGGATGGCCTCGAGGATTTCTGCTGAAGGGTCTGTTGGGGGGGGTTTGGGCACAATGGACAATATTTTCTCGGTCGTTATTATTATATTAACTGTGCATATTCGTTTGTTCAGTGTATGAGTGCAGACTCATGCATTCGTTGTCAACGTTGGATGTAGAGAGTGAGGTTGGTATTTTTTCGGGTATTCTTTGGCAGAGATAGGTAGGAAGTGATGGAGGATTTAGGTGGTGCCGCGGGTCTGTGAGGTTTTGTTTTGCAGGTGGTAAGTGTAGATTTGGGGAAGTAAAGTTGGTTTAGGTCGGTTCTCTTTTGTGTGAGTGTACTTGTGGGTGTAGGGGTTGGGTTTATGGGTGGGGGTGGTCGTTCTTTTTCTGTTGTGGAATGTGTTACTTTGGTTTGTGTTTGTGGTTTGGTTCCGTCATATATACAGCAGTGTTCAGTAGTAAACTCCTTACAGTATTTGGGTAGTTGGCGTGGGTGAGCTACAATTTTGATATGGACAGGTATTCTTGACTAGTCGAAGTGTGTTGGCCGCCCCAAGTCGCCGAATTCCTTGAGATGTCGTGGTCTGTACTTGTGGTAGAACCTCGACCACCGTGTGCCGACGAACGAGGAACGAGGGAAGGTGTAGAGGAAACATCGAACCACAGAAGACACCAGACACGTCGACCAGCACACTTGAAGTAGGCAAGTCCTGGGGAGGGCGTCGTTTGCGACCTGGGAGAAGAGCGGTCATCAGGACCAGGAGGGCGGTCAGCGAGACCATGAGCCGACGCGGTTCTGGAAAAGTCCACGTACCACTGGTGAAGAAGTAGGTGACGAATGGTATGAGGATGATGGTCCGTCGGGAGAAGAAGGTGTGAGGACCTGCGAGGCGAAGAGGTGCTGCAGCTGGATGGTGACCTGGAGCCCCGAGTAAGGCTCCTCCGCCTCGAATTTGGCCACGTCGATGTTCCCGACGGCGTACTCGACCAGCTTGTCGTTGTTGGCGTAGTTGATGCCCGAGCCGTACTTCAGCAGGGACACGTAGTTTAGGGTGTTGCGCTTCACCCTGTAGATCATGCTGCAGTGGTCGACGTTGAAGGGGTAGTAGAAGAAGTTGAAGTTGCAGTTGAAGGTGATCGTGTACTTGCGTGAGACTCGGATGTAGTTCGTGTCCCCGTCGTAGATGGACGCTGTCATGGAATAGAGAGAGAGATTAGGCTGATCATCTTTAACTTCAACACTCAGCGGACTTTCTTTACAAGTGTCTCGCAGTACCATACTGATTAATCTGTCTCCTGATCTCAGCAGCATCTATCTATAGATGGCGACATGAACATCAAATATTCCAAGCGAGATGCGGTCATTAATAGCAATAATTAAATCACTTTCCTGAGCATCTTGGATAAAATTATGGATAGCCAGTAACTGAATCATCATCATCCAAGAAGTTCTGAAGTTCCACAAATTGTACGTCTTTGATAACCTCCGAAATCTGTTCTTCAAAGGCTATAGACCAAAAGGCGATATTCAGAACAATATAGAAGAAGACAGTCAGCCACTTGCACCAGTGACTGATCTTCATCGCGAGGGCGTTGGGGTCGTGTTGGGTCGCCGTTCGGATCCGCCTTTTGTCCACGTGGGAAACCTCGGCCTCGGGCAGAACGGAACAGGGGAGACACTGGTTGAGCCGCAAGAGGACAGGGTGAGGTTCGGGCGGGGACTCGAACCGCTTCCTTTTGTCCTCTTCCTTTCCGCTGATGAAGTTCATCCGGAGGAAGAGTCGCTCCCTCTCTTCGGCTTCGATCTCATGGTCGTACTTGTGGTGGTACTCGACTATTGTGTGGCACACGATGATGATGAAGGTAAATAAGATGGACGCGAAGAACCAGATGTCAACCAGCTTGAAGTACGAAGTCTTCGGGAGAGCGTCGGAGACCTGGGAGAAGAGGGTCATGAGGACCAAGAGGGTCGTCAGGGAAACCATTACGCAGTTGTTGAAGTCGTACCACTTGAAGAAGAAGGTGGCATACGAGATGAGGTTGATGACGGTCGTCGGGATGAAGATGGTGAGGACCTCCGAGGCGTACAAGTGCTTGAGCTGCACGACGACTCTCAGCCCCGAGTACGGCTCCTGACTGACGTACGGCTCGACGTGCATGCGACCGACGCTGTACTCCGTGAGGGTGCTCTCTTGGTACAGGATCCCATGGCCGTACTTCTGAAGCACTACGTAGTTGTCTGTGTTCCTTTTAAAGCGGAATACCATATAGCAGTAGTCGATGTTGAAAGGGTAGTAGAAGAAGTTGAAGGTACAAGTCCACGTGATGGTGTACTTGCGGGAGATGCGGATGTAGTTCTCGCTGCCGCTGTAGACGGAGGCTGGGCAGGGCGGAGCAACGAGCGCGGATAGTTTCGTGAGGGAGGAGGAAGGAGGGGGAGAAGAGAAAACATACATTAGAAATGGGTACGTATATTCTCGGTCTCCTTCAAACATAATTCTTTTTCAATTTCGTGTTAACCATTGGTTGATTGATTAAGGAATCAGCAATAATTGTGTCAAAATATGAAGTATGAGGCTTTCCTCTGATCATCTACAATATCTATAAGATTGCTCAGGAAACCCATTTCTAATGTTTTCATTTTGCTTTTGTTTTTGTCTTTTTTTTATAAGATATTTTACACGAGGATAATTCATAATTGCCGATGAATTCAGAAGAATGCTCATACAATCATACTCTTCCAGATGAAATGAATCATAATATTATAATGTAATAAATTCACATTCATTCATTCTTCAAGCATGTAATCACACTAATGACATGCATGATTCGGACTCAGTAAACCTGAAGTTTAGTCAGGTGCCTGTTGTAGTGATAGCAACTGGGAGAAAGTTTACACGCTTTAAATGCATTTAAATAAAATCAATTATATGTTGTGATGTCTACTGAAGATATCTCTTCTGTTCACGGATTTTGAAAATCAAGAAATGTTGAAACGTAAGTTAGGAAACTGAAATTTTCAAGGGTAACCGACGTTGTCAGGTATTTCAGGCTTGGAGATGGCAGCCAGGTAGTCCTTGTAGGTCTCCTGAATCTTCTGCATAAAAGCCACAATCCAGAAGACCAAGTTCACCACCACATAAAGTACGGCAGTGAAGATGTTCCCGAACTTATTCACGAACTTCGAAGCCCAGTTCGGACACTTTTCTTTCTTCTCTTCCTCTTTGGTCTCCTTGGTCTCCTTCTTGTTCTCAGTGGTCGAGGCGATCCTGACGGTGGTCTGCAGCGTCTCGAAGGTCTTCTTGATGGCCTCGCTCCAGAACCGGTGCAGCTCCGACCTCTCATCGAGGCCCTTGGGAAGGTCGGGTTCCTTCTTCTTCTGTGTCTCGGATTTCTTCAGGGCTCGGATCTCGTGCTCATACAGATGGAAGTATTCAACCACCGTGTGCTGCATGATGACCAGGAACGTGTAGATGATGGAGAAGAAGAACCAGATGTCGACCAGCTTGAAGTACGAGGTCCGAGGAAGAGTGTCGGCCACCTGGGAGAAGAGGGTCATCAGGACCAGGAGCGAAGTCAGCGAAACCATGATCCGGTTCTGGAAGTCGTACCACTTGAAGAAGAACGTTGCGTACGAGATGATGTTAATGACGGTCGTCGGGATGAAGATGGTGAGGATCTGGGAGGCGAAGAGGTGCGTTTCAAATTCTGGATACTTTGCACAAGAACCAAGCCCAGTAGTAAGGAGTCAAACGGTGGGAACGCGCGAGTCTGAGCAGCTTCGATCCTTTCCCACCGCTCAATAGTAAAGTATGTGTGTGTATGAGTCCTGTAGCGAGGTACTGTGTTTCTGGTGAGAATAGCTTGGTTCGTGTGTGCGGCTGTAATCTCGGTGAAGTAGTTGGTATGCTGATATTATATGTGCCGTTAGTTTGGTTGTGTAATTGATATGGGGTTGGTGTGGGTTTGGTATAAGTAGAGTGGTGGTTTATGATGTAGGTGTTGGGGTGGTGTTGGTTTTCGCCGCGGTACGTAAGTTGCGAATCAGGTCTGAGAGCACACGCTAAGAGGTTATTTGGTGATGAGATGGAGTGAGGTTGCGCTTCACCGTTAGGGAGGACGCCACAGCTGGCAGTAATACCGTGTTGAGGGTAATAGAAGAGAGATGGGTGGAGAGTGGAGGTCTTGCAGTAAGTGAAGGTGACGGGTATATGCAGGTTGGTTGGTTGCTGAGTAAGGTAGTTTGTTCGATGTAGAGATGTGGGTGTTTACTTAGTTTACTGTTATAAGCGGATGTAGTTCTCGCTCCCGCTGTAGAAAAGTATGAAGTCGGGCTGATTGCTGGCAGGAGAGCAGGAGACGAAGAGGCATCTTATTATCTGACTGGACGGGTTAAGTAGGGTAAAGTGAGCGCGGCTGGCGTTATAGAAGTGGAGGAGAGAGTGATAGCGTAATCGTTGTATGGAGTCAGAAAGCATCGGGAACACACTTTGACGCGTCGACGGATTGTTGTGTGGGTGTAGTTGGTGTTGTTGTATGTGGGCGGGTGTTGTGGTGAGGGGGAGGCGGGCGACGCATCTTAAAAAGAGATCGCTGTGTTTAGAGTGTAGAATGGATGGCAATGTAGGGAGGTGAGTATAGAGCGGTTGTGTGTGTGTAGTGAGGTGTTATTTGTGAGCGTGTCTTCGTGTTGAAGCGTATAGTTAAGTAAGTGAGTGTAGATGATAGTGATGATTGTTGACATAGGGGTAATAGTAACGTTGGCTATTTAAGGTCTTGATCAGAATAGATGAGTGCAGAATAAGGAAGTATTATGAGTGAGAGTGTCGTTGTTGAGTTGATGTTATGGTATATTTGGATTGGGCATGTGTGTAAGACATCGAAGTGTGTGAAACTACAGTGTAGATTGAGGCAGGTGGTGATGAGAGTCTAGTGATATAAATCTAAGTTGGAGATTGTCGCAGGGTTGAGTCGACTTGAGGTGAGTTCGAGAGGGATGTAGCATTGAAAAGACTTATAAGTTTTGATTTCGGTAGCGCGTATGTGATGAGAGTGAAGGATACATTCCGTCAGACAGTGTTCATTTTAGAGTTGTGTGTGTGACGGGTGAAGGTTATGGGTGGATTACTGAAGTCTGATACCTCTGGATGTTGGGGTTATTCTGTTATGTAGATCGGAGTGCTTGTGCGCGACGAGTGGTTAGTCGCGGTGGATGGTGTCACGGGTGCACAGTGAGATTGTGTGTACGTGTGCCTGTGGGACTGGCGAGGATGTTCTCTCGATTTGATTACGTGGTTTGGTGGTAGATGCGAGTGTGTATTATGTTGGAGTGTTAGTTCAGTGTAGTGCATCGGGGTGTTGAGCATTCCGTGGCTAGTGGGACCACTCGTATGTGCTGGTGTTGTGTGTAGTGGTGTTGGTCGCTGAATGTTCTGGTTCTAATGAAGCAGCTGGGTAGTATTGTGCTGGTTAGTTGTTGCGTCCATTGGATCGTTGATGGATGTAGAATGTCGGGTGATGTGACGTGAGGTGTATAGGGGTGAGTGACGGCTCAGATTAAGCGCTTTGTAGTGTAGTCCTTTCTCCGGTGAGGATGGAATGAGTTTTGAGCAGCTGGCGAGTGGTAGTGTTTCCCGGTTGGTGTGGTACTCGAGTGGGTAGTATGTATCTTCGTCATTGTCAGATAGTACTGGACGACGTGAAGTGATGCCACGAGGAATGAGGTGGTATACCTGATGTGAAGGTTCTTTATTAACATGGTTTGGCAATTACTCAGTTGAGCGGTGATGGAGCATGTTCGTATGTGGCGTACGGCTGGGGTGAGAAGTGTTGCGCAGAGTTGGAGGTTTAGGTAGTGGATGAGGCTGTGTCAGATCGGAATGTGGATGCTGAGGCTGGATATAGTTGTATGGCAGCGAGCATGTAGCGCTGGAGCTGGTTGCAGGGTTTTCAGAGAAAGGCAGGAGGGGTAAGGCGCGTGCCGGTTGCCGTTGGCGAGGTGCGGTGGGAGGGTCGGCTGGTACCCCACCGTCGGGATCAGGCAGGACCGGCGAGGTCGCTCATCATGCCGACTTGTCCTCGCACTGGGCTCGCCGGTCGCACACCTGGTCGAGCGGAATGCAATTGCCGTTGTTGCAGGTGAACTCCTCGTTCTTGCTGCACTGCGTGAGGGCGAGAGACAGCAGCTCGCCCGCCTTCTTCCCGCAGAAGCCGTGGGAGACTGCCAGTTGTCCTGCCGATGGGGAAGTCGATGGACCCGACTCCTCCATGATGGCGAAGGTGTTGTTCTCCAGGATTCTCCAGCTGCCAGTGCCAGAGTCGTGTAGTAGACGTGCGACCTGTAGTATCCCCGGAAGTACGGCTTGTTGTTCCTGAGGCCGGCCAGGATGAAGCGGTCGTCGTACAGGTTGGAGTCGCAGATCCCGCGGAACCGCAGGAACACGGGGATGGCCACGCGGCACACGGGGCAGAACTTGAACGACTTCCTGCACGCGTTGTCCACCCACGTGCCCTGGAAGTCCGCCCTTCATCACGGCGCAGTTCTCCAGCACGCCCCCGTTGGGCTGCCCCTGCGTCCACAGCAGGAACTGCACGGGTTCCTTCGTGTCGTAATAGTACCACTCCTTCTCGCTGTCCTCGTCGGTGATCCCCAGCCACATGAGGGCGCCTCCGTCGGCTGCGCAGAGGTCGGCGTTCTTCGAGGACAGCGTGTAGAGGGTCTCCTGCTCGTCGGCGTTCATGGGCGTGGCCACCGAGCCCCCCAGGGCGGAGCAGAGGAAGGTGGAGGCCGAGAACTGCAGTTTGTCCAGGAACATGAAGAACGGGACTGGCTTCACGTCGCAACTCTGGGAAAGTTGCTGGTACTCCTGGAGAGACAAAAACAGAGAGAGAGAGAGAGAGAGAGAGGGGGGGAGGAGTGAAGAGAGGGAGAGAGAGGAGAGAGAAAGAAAGAGAGAGGAGAGGGGAGGGAGAGGGAGGACAGAGGGAGAGAAGAGAGAGAAGAGAGAAGGCGGTATTGCATTCTATCCGAGGTCTTCCATGTCGATCAAAACTTCATTTCAATACAGGTTTCTCAATTACGTTATACATGGCACAATGATTTGTGGTATATAATGTAAATGTGTTTATATGCATACGCGCGCATGTGTGCATATACACACACAAATACTAATTTTATTACTTATCTATATGTCTGTCTATCTATCTATTTGTCAATCCATCCATCCTCATCCATCTACCCATCCCGTCCCTTCCTCCCTCCTTCCATCCAATCTACCATTCCTCCCTCCCTCCCTCCCCCATCTATCCCATCCTTACCCTCCTCCCTCCCATCTATCCATCCATCCATCTATTCATCTCCTCCCTTCCTCCCTCCATCTATCCATCCACCTAATCCCTATCTCACTCCGCCGCGTCCGCTCCGACATCCCACACCGCGTCCTCCCACGTCAGGATATTGCCCTTGAGGGTGGACTCGCAGGAACTCAGGTCCTTC